GTATGGACAACAGTTTCCGTGTTGACTGAGTCAAATTAGTCGGCCAACACAAATTAGTATGACTAACAACATATATTTCACAACACATAATAATATAATATATATTACATATTCTAAAAACACACGATATAATTCAGTATACCACAATATATTATTAATTTTAGTTGAATATATATATATATATTCAACGAGCATAAATCAACTGATGATCCAGTCAAATCAACATAGTGCTTATTTGACCTAATAAGCATATGTTACAGAGGTGTCCAACGTATAATTATATCTATATATTAACATATTTATAATATAACATATATTATACTCCCTCCGTCCCGGAACTAAATATTCATTTGCTTTTTTCACTTAGTTTTAGAAATATTAGTATTATATTGGGATATAGTAGGAATAAAGTAAAAATAACTAAAATAACCTTATTAGTATGTTTTATATAAAGATAATGACATTTGTGTAATATATATTATAAGTTGTAAGGATATTTGTAATGTTAGGCAGATAGTACAATTACTAAAAAAAAAAGAAATGAATACTTTGTTATAGGACGAACTAAAATGAAAAAATGGATACTTTGTTGTGGGACGAAGTAAGTATTATAATTCAACATATATTATCCTATAACACATTATATGTTATATGTATAAAATTATGTTTGTTACCCCTATAGCATATGCTGATCCGGCCAAATCAGAAACAGACTTGGCCGAATCAGCACGGAATATGCAGTCATCTACAAAACAAAACAGTATACAAATTCGACATCACATACTTCTATATAATACATCATATACTGGCTTATATACATATACACTATTCGTTTGCTAATTTGTGCTGATAGGGTTATCAACATTGAAACTGTCGCTATAGGAACAAACAATATACTCCATTCGTCCCGGTGCAAGGTTGTAGTTTACTTTTTCCACGTAGATTTTTGGATATTAGTATTATAATGGGTTATAGTGAAAAAAACGAAAATACCCCTATTAGTATTGTGTAATATAAAAATAATAGCATTTGTGTAATATAGTGTAAGTTGGAAAATATTTATTATGTTAGGTAAGTAGTACAACTACTGAATTAAAAAATGGTAACCTTGTTTTGAAACGGACAAAAATAAAAAATAACAACATTTCAATAGAACGGAGGGAATATACAATATAAATACTGAAAATGTGAATTATATTACTCTTCGTCCACTCCAAATGTATTATTGTTTCATTTTAGTCCGTTCATCCTCAATTTATATAATTTTTTAAGTTATTACCTTTAAAAAAAAAAAAAAAAACTCAGCTTTACACAATGTTACAAATAATTTAATTTGAAGATAAATGCTACACAATATTTTTATTCTTTTAGAGTGTGCTTGTTTGGGGAATGGATTTTCAATCCATTATACATCCTATTTTTTCTCCAAAAAAAAATATCAAATCAAACACCTAAATTTTATTTTTATATTATACTAAAAATCAATTTTACATTTAAAACATCACATCAACACCTATTTATATCATATCATACAACTATTCAAATTCAAAATTTTTACTATTCAAATCCCAACTCAAAATCCAAACTCCCAAACAAACACACCCTTATTGTACTATCACCTCTAAAATATTAATATTCTAAAATTTATGTAAAATTATAGTTCCTCCGTTCCACTTAATTTGTCTATTATTTCTATTTTCGTCTATTCTACATAATTTGTCAATTCTTTTTTAAAATTCACAAATAATTTTTTTTTTATTTAAATTAAACTATTTAGTCATCTTAATCCTAATTTATAATTTTTTTATTAAACCATAACTATTTTTACTGATACACTTCTTATTTACTTACTAATTACACAATACTTAAAACTCTATATCTAAACTAAATGAGACAAATTAATTGGCCGGAAGAATAAATAATTAGATTTACCGTGAACATGGAGAATAATATAAATACTCCATTTGTTCCACTCCAATGTACTATTTAGGGTTTTATAATATATTAAAAAATAATACTTCATCCGTCCACTTCTAAGGTCACATTTACCTTTTGTATTATTGTATTTAACATTAAAAATATTTTTATACAAATATCATTTTATTAGTATTATAAGACATTAATTGAAGTATTTTTATAATTTTTTCTTAATAGGTATTACGTTTTGATATAATAATTAATATTTAAAAAAAAATAAATGAGACTCTTGAAGTCGGACGAAGATAGTAATAAAATTTTATTAATTAGTTAAATTGTGTAAGAATTTAATAATTTTGTGTTTTACCTTTATATAAAAATTATTACATATAAGTAATATTTTTGTAATTATGTAAGAATTTAGCATTTTAGATTTATTGTACAATAATATATTAATTTCATACAACACTAGGAACAAACAATATAATTTAAATATATGCAAGACGGATTAAGTCAATATAATACAAACATAACATATGAGATAATATTACATAATATAAAAAAAGAATATACAGTATTAAAATATACAATAATATATTATGATATGCTATAGGTATATATATACTACAAGAAATGAATTATAATCCCTCCGTTCCATGTAATATGAGTGTATTACTGTATACGCGGGAATTTAGGTAAAATATAATTAGTAAGTAATTAAGAAATGTATTAATAAAAATAATTATTATTTAGTAAAAATAATTATAGATTAAGATAAATAAATAGTTTAATTAAAATTAAAAAAATTATAAAATTTAAAATTTAAAATGCGATTACAGTACATAATTATATTTTCAAAAATAAAAAGGACAAGTTACGTGGGACGGACGAAAATAAAAAATAGGGACAAATTACGTAGGACAGAGTAATATATTACAAATAATTTTACCAAAAAATATTAATGCAACATATTTAATTTTATTTAATATAATATATCATGTCTATTTATTTTATATGTGCTCAGCACCATATAAATCTATTTATTTAATTATGTTTAATGAGTATTTACTTTAAAATATTATACTGCAAATAACAATTAAAGCCTTTTTGGTTGTACAAATCTATGATACTTATTTGTGGTTGAATTATATGATTAATTTGTTAAAATTCTATTAGGGCCGTTTGATACAGAAAATGTAATTGCAGATAAATAGAATTTAGTTGAGAAATGTAAAAAAAATTGAATGGATCGAACAAAAATAAATGATTAATCTAACAAAAGAGAGTTTTAGCGAATGAGAATTGATAAAAAAATATTTCCGGTGACTTTTGTAAAACAAAAAATTATAAATTATACGAAGTTTTGTAGGATCAGTATAATTTTTTTTTTTAAAAAAATTGTATAAAATTAAATACTTGAATGATAAATTAAATATAATTTTTTAAAAACTGAAATAATACAATATAAATAATTTTATAAAGGACCTTTGGTACAAAGAATGTAATTGCAGACAAATAGAATTCAGTTGAGAAATATAAAAAAAATTGAATGGATCGAAGAAAAATAAATGATTAATCTAACGAAATAGAGTTTTAGCGAATGAGAATTGATGAAAAAATATTCTTGTGACGTTTTTAAAACAAAAAATTATAAATTATATGAAGTTTTATAAGATCCGTATAAAAAATTATATAAAATTAATTACTTGAATGATAAATTAAATATAATTTTTTGTTTAAAAAACTGAAATAATACAATATAAATAATTATAAAAATTAAATAGTACGAAATAAAAAAAAATATATATACTACAATATTATTTCTCTCTATTTTTTTAAATATAGGAAATAGAAGAAAATAGAAAAATAAAAATAATTTATTTCTGACTCAAACAAATAATAGAAATGAAAATATTTGTATTTCTCTACTGCCAATTAAGACACCCTAAACATGATTTTGTATTTAATTCCATATTTTAATTATAAATAAACTTTATCTAATTATTATTTGCATTTTCAGCAAATATATCTTATCTAATTTAGAATAGATATTGCAATCTTTTTATTCTGTTATTCCCATAAAAAATGCACTATAAGCAAATATTTATAACAAAATATGTATATCCAAAAATAAAATATCAATAAAAATTTATTACTATCATTTATCTTTCTAATAAATCTATCTATGAAAAAATATTTTAGGTTTGTTTATTGGTATTCAAATTATTTTTAAAATATATTTCTTGTAAGAATGTTCATTTTGTGTTTAAAATAAATATACTTTTCTACGTGAAAAATATAAAAATTTTATATCGATAATATAAATAATAAATTATATTTAATTATTAATTTTTATATTTAAATAGAAAATATATATTATATTTATTTTATATTTTAGAAAAAATAATTATATATTAATATTAAAATATTTTTAATTTTTATTTAAATTATAAATATATCATTACTATTTTATATGAAAGACAAATATATTTAAAATTTTTAGAAAATTTTACTAACTAATAAAATAAAATTATTTTTAATTTACTCCAAAATTTAAAAAGTCCATTGTTTATTTGGAGGATTGGATTGGATTTACACTATTCATCCAATTTTTTTTTCCAAAAACATCAAATTAAATACCTATTTTTCATTTTTTATATTATATTAAAAATTAATTTTACATTCAAAATATCACATCAAAGCTATTTATATCACCATCGTATAATTATTCAAATTCAAAATTTTTACTATTTAAATCCCAACTCAAAATCCATCTAAACAAACACACCCTTCATTTAAAAAAAAAAATATTTTAAAAAATAAAATAACAGTAATACACATGTAATAAATAATAATATTATTATAATTATAATGAATAAAATTAGAAGTTTGACAGCAAATAATGTATACGGACGTGTGCACACAGAATGACGACACGCGCGTGAGGTGACGAGAGGTGAGGGAGTAGGGCCCGTGAGATAAACGGTTAGGATTCTCCGGGCGCAGTGGACCGGGAGCAGGGGATACTCACTCGCATTGAACTGCGGTTTGCAGAGCTCACTCGCACCGAAGACTTAAAGGAGAAACTGTCCCTTTAATTTCGAACGTCCTTCTCTCTATCCACAGCACAATTCTCCTCGCTCTCCAACCCCCACCCCCCACCCCCTCTTTCTCTCTCTAGGATTTTGGGTAACTCTTCCGTTCCTCTCTTCGGTCGCCGTGTTGTTAGCCCGCCTCCATTTTTAGGGTTTCTCTTTTGATGCTTGCGGTCTTTGGTTGTTTTTTTTGGACCCATTTTAGCTGTTGTGCTTTTTTTCCGAGGGAGGTGTGTCTGTGTGTGTGAGAGCTTTTTGTTGGTTGTTCTAGGGGGATGTTTGTGTATATATATATGTATTTTCTTTTACGTTCTGTTCTGGATTGAAGTTTTTGGTGAATTCAGGCTTTTGTGGTGCTCTTTTGTATACTGCATTTTTTTTCGGTGGAGTTTTTTCTTGGTTGTTGATGATTTTTATTTTATTTTTTTCCGAGTAAAACCTCAATTTGACTGAACTTTTTCTCTTTCTTCTACCAGTACAGTGTGAACGAAATCGGGTTAGAGGGATCCGCCTTCTGCAGCAGCTTTTAACAGCGGAAGATTTTTGAGGTACGCCTGTGTACTTTGTTTTGTTTTTCTGTTTTCCGTTTTTTTTGGGGCTTTTTTATTTATTTATTGTCGATTTCATGGCTAGATTTGTGAATTTTTGGTCGCTGTTTGTGGGTGAGTTCTGGCAAGTTGTTCATATGACGATTTGTTAGAGAAACGAAAGCGATGTGTAACTTTTGGTTTGTTGTTTATGGCATTTCTTTTCTCTATGTTGACATGCATTGATGTTTATGGCTTCTTAGCCGTTTGGGCAGTCGATAAATTCGTCTCGAGGTTCTTAGATTTATGCCTCAGTTCATTTATGAGATCTTTCTCCACGTGTATGCTTTCTAAGTGTGTATATACTTGACTGTTTTGGCGCTGACTTGCAGAAACTAGTGAGAACGAAACTAGGCTATGGATCCCTCTGAAAAGGACGGAGATGGCGTCACCGGAGCGGCTGAGTCCTTACCCCCACCTCCACCAGTCGCCCCTGATGTTACTCCGATCAAAGCTCAGGAGCCGGAAGTGAAGAAGACGTTCCGGAACCCAATGGCGAGACGAAGCCTAGGAACCAAGGGTACTAAGGTTCCTATTCTGACAAATCACTTCAAAGTGTCTGTGAGCAACGTCGACGGACAGTTCTTCCACTACAGTGTATGTCTCCAGATGTATTCTATGTATATATATACACACATTTGTCCGTATTTCTGTGTTTTCTTCGAAATTTCTGCGGCTCTACATTACCATGTGGATTTTGTGTTTGCCTTGCTTCGTAGGTTGCCATATTTTATGAAGATGGTCGTCCTGTTGATGCCAAGGGCGTAGGCAGGAGAGTTCTCGACAGGGTTCATGAGACATATGATACTGAATTAGGCGGTAAACAATTCGCCTATGATGGAGAGAAGAGCCTGTTCACTGTTGGAGCCCTCCCGAGGAACAAACTTGAATTTACTGTGGTTCTGGAGGATGTCACCTCCAGTAGGTGGGTCTGCATCTTGTTGTTTTAATGGTTTCACCAATTTTGGTTACTTTCAATTCTCTCTGTAACTGTTCGCTTTGGATTCAGGAACAATGGCAATGCTAGCCCAGGAAGCCCTAATGAAGGCGACAAGAAAAGGATAAGGCGCCCCTATCGCTCTAAGACATTCAAAGTCGAAATCAGTTATGCTGCAAAGATCCCAATGCAGGCCATAGCGAATGCTCTTCGTGGCCAGGAATCCGAGAACTCTCAAGAAGCATTCCGAGTTCTTGACATCATCTTAAGGCAGCACGCAGCAAAACAGTAAGTGAAGCAGAATCATTGAATTTGTGTAGACTCGATTTACATTGTATGCTATTCTTATGTCAGGGGTTGCTTGCTGGTACGTCAATCATTTTTCCATAATGATCCGAAGAACTTTGCTGATGTTGGAGGTGGTGTTCTTGGATGCCGCGGCTTCCATTCTAGCTTCAGGACCACCCAAAGTGGCCTGTCTCTGAACATCGGTAATCGCCTGCCCCTGCATCTTGTGTTTATAAGTTGTTGTATGGCTCATTGTTAGTGATAATGAGAATTTTTATGGTTTCTAGATGTCTCTACTACTATGATTATACAACCTGGTCCTGTGGTTGATTTTCTGATTGCTAACCAAAATGTGAGGGATCCCTTTTCGATTGACTGGGCGAAGGTAAGAATATGGTCCACTCTGGGCACAGTTTCATGATTTTATGCCCTACCTCTTTATTGATGGTAGACTTGCACAATCTTTCTGATTTTCTAGGCCAAACGCACTCTGAAGAATCTGAGGGTGACTACTAGCCCTACTAACCAGGAGTACAAAATCACTGGATTGAGCGAGAAGCCCTGCCGGGAGCAACTGTAAGATTTTCTTATATCAATCTGTGCTTTTATTTTATTGTAGTTCTCATTATGTTCCTTCAAATAGACCAGCTGTTCAAATTCTTTCAATCTGTGCTTTTATTTTATTGTAGTTCTCATTATGTTCCTTCAAATAGACCAGCTGTTCAAATTCTTTCTACGATTTAATGTTGCCTATATTCAAAATATCTGTAGGTTCACCCTGAAGCAGAAAGGCGGGAGTGCAAATGGCGATGGCCAGACGACTGAAGTGACTGTTTATGATTACTTTGTCCAACACCGTAACATTGAACTGCGATACTCTGCTGATCTACCCTGCATCAATGTTGGAAAACCAAAGCGTCCCACATTCTTCCCAATTGAGGTGGAACTGTGGATTGTTTCAGATATATAATTTTTTCATATGAATACGTCCTGTGCTGATATATTCTTTTGTTGAATTAGCTCTGCTCGCTGGTGTCATTGCAACGATATACTAAAGCTCTGTCAACATTCCAACGATCCTCTCTGGTGGAGAAATCTAGGCAGAAGCCACAGGAGAGGATGAATGTTCTCACCAATGTATGGTTCTTCATGAGAAGAGTCCCGTACATGTTTTGCTATAAGCCATTCTTATAAGTTGTGTTGTATGTTTTGTAGGCTTTGAAAATCAACAACTATGATGCTGAGCCTATGCTCCGTGCCTGTGGGGTTTCTATAGTACGCAACTTCACTCAGGTTGAAGGGCGTGTCCTCCCAACACCTAAGGTATGGTTTGAAACGATGGTCTTGTTGTTTATGCTAATGCACTATGTACTGGGACTATCAGATTCTTGGGATTGATGCAGCTCAAAGTTGGTAATGGAGAAGATCTGTTTGCAAGGAATGGAAGATGGAACTTCAACAACAAGGCTTGTTACACCCCTCTGTTTTTCCTATACGCCACTGTCTATTTTACTTATTGAACATGGTTTCTCAAGGATTCTTTGTTGTGTTTATGCAGAAATTTGTTAATGCTTGTCGGATAGAAAAATGGGCTGTGGTTAACTTCTCGGCACGATGTGATGCTCAGAACCTTGTCCGAGAATTGAAAAAATGTGGTGGTGCTAAAGGAATTGTAAGTATAAACTTTATTACATATCAATTTTTGGGGGACTTGGTATTATATATCGATTTTTTTTGAAACTGACCATTTTAATTTATGCTATGTAGTTCGTTGAAGATCCATTCGATGTTTTTATGGAAAATGGGCAGTACCGGCGAGCTCCTCCACAGGTTAGGGTGGAGAAAATGTTTGAAGAGGTGCAGAGCAAGCTCCCTGGCCCACCAAAGTTTCTGCTCTGTCTGCTTCCCGAGCGGAAGAACTGTGATGTTTATGGTCTGTGTCAGCATATTCAAAGCTAACATCATTATTTTTCATTGACTAACTATTTGACTGGGATTTTCAGCTCCATGGAAACGGAAGAACTTGTCGGATTTTGGTGTTGTCACTCAATGTCTCTCACCTACTCGGGTTAATGATCAGTACTTGACAAATCTTCTGCTGAAGATAAATGCGAAGGTAAGTTGCCCTGTCTTGCAACATCAAACAATTATCATACAAGTTTAAGGGCTTCTAAGTTTTGATATTGTATTGCCGACAAAATTGATTCTTGGCAGCTTGGTGGGTTGAACTCTGTACTGGCTGGCGAGATACAACCCTCACTTCCAATGGTGTCCAAGGTCCCTACCCTTATCCTTGGTATGGATGTATCTCATGGTTCTCCTGGACACTCGGACATTCCATCCATTGCTGCGGTTGGGCCCTCTCGATTCCTTCAATTCATTTGTTGTGCTAACCTTAGTTAAAAACTTATCTACTTTTAAAGAGCTAAATGTTCATTAAGTGCTTCTTTACGATTCTATAATCAGGTTGTTAGCTCTAGGCAGTGGCCATCAATTTCCCGTTACCGAGCTGCTGTTCGCACCCAGTCGCCTAAAGTTGAAATGATTGATTCCCTGTACAAGCGAGTGTCTGATACCGAGGATGCTGGTATTATGAGGTAAGACATTTTGGCGTGGGTGAAACAGTGTAATCATAGAATTCAATTATATTAGATCTGAAAGGGATTAATCCTTTGCCTATGATTTCCTTACTGTGCACTCTCTTTCAATTGCAGGGAATCACTTATCGATTTCTACACCAGTTCTGGAAAAAGGAAGCCTGACCAAATCATCATATTCAGGTTATATTTTTCGACTTTATGTTTTCACTCTGCTGGTGTGTGTATTCTGCAAGTTGTAGTACTTAGTTTATTCTTCTCTGCTTGAAATTTCAGAGATGGTGTTAGTGAATCCCAGTTCAATCAGGTCCTCAACTTGGAACTGAATCAAATCATACAGGTTTGTCGTACGATCCTACTTCTATTCTTGAGTTGATCTCTTATTTTGTACCAATTATTTCAACTGTTACCTCTGTGCGCAGGCTTGCAAGTTTCTTGATGAGAAGTGGAATCCGAAATTCGTGGTGATTATTGCCCAGAAAAATCACCACACCAAGTTTTTCCAGCCTAATTCTCCAGACAATGTGCAGCCAGGTGACGTTTCTTTGGATTCAAGTCTTGTAAAAGTGAAATGCGTACAACTGCGTGCGCACTGATATCTATTGTTGTGTTGTGGCAGGAACTATCATTGACAACAAAGTTTGTCACCCCAGGAACAATGATTTCTACTTGTGTGCTCATGCTGGGATGATTGTAAGCATTTGGTTTTGCCGTCTAGGAGTAATATTTGATTGATAGTTGATCCCCCGCCGATTTCTGACTTTGTAATTGTTGCAGGGAACCAGTAGGCCAACTCATTACCATGTACTGCATGATGAGGTCGGCTTTACAGCCGATGACCTTCAGGAGCTTGTGCACTCACTCTCTTATGTGTAAGTAGAAGAATATGTTAAGAAACACTACAAGATTTGACCCTTAATGATGTGCTTTGCTAAAATACTCGTGTATTTATTTGTATCTATCTGTGTTGCAGTTATCAGCGAAGCACGACTGCTATATCTGTTGGTAATTATACGCCTCGACATTGTTTTAACAATTATTATTGTTGTTAATAATTTCTTTTTATTGCCAAATTATTATTATTGTTATGTGTGACATGAATGCAATCCAACCCTGTGCAGTTGCCCCAATTTGCTATGCTCACTTGGCGGCCACGCAGTTGGGACAGTGGATGAAATACGAGGATGCATCAGAAACGTCGTCGAGCCACAACGAGGCGGGTTCAGGTGCCAATGCCAATGCCCCACCAGTGCCAGCCATGCCTAAGCTCAATGAGAGTGTATGCAACTCCATGTTTTTCTGCTGATAGGGACAAGAGAGAGAGAGGGACCAAGCAAGCCACCCTTTTTTTTTTTATTATTATTGTTAGTGGGGTATTATCTATATATATATATGTCTAGGTGGTGGTTACTCTTTTTATCTATTATGCTATGTTACGGTTATGGTTATGGTTGGGAAGAGACATGGGGAGTGCCGCCAGTGGTGTTTTGTTCTGTGGTGGATCTATCTATCTATATCTATCTGTCTATGTGTCTAGTGAGTAATTAACTATGCCTATGCCTATGCTATGGTTGAAGGATGTTGACTTTGGAGTTGGCCTGTGAATCATCTTTCTTTCGTCATTGCTAATGCTTCATTTATATTTTGTCTATCTTCTACTTTTTGTTTTGTTTTTATTTTTTATTTATTATATAATGTGAGATGTCTCTTCTTATTTACTAGTGTTATTATTAACTTTGATCGTAGCTAGAATGCTTTCTTAACACTAATTGAGATAACTAGTTTAAAATGAGATTAAAATGTGTAATAAAAGTGATATGAAATGGAACGTGGGAGGGAGTATTACTTTTTTAACATTTCTTGATTAATTATTTTAAGTGAGTTGGACCTGACATGGATTTAGTAGTAACAGTAAAAGGTTGAAGAAGAAAAGCGGCTTGTACTGATTTTGATGGAATGCCTACCTTTTTGTAAAGGAAAAGATGGAATAGCGTGTTGGGAATAATGTATTACAATCTTTTTATATTTATTTATAATTTTACTGTGTTTATTCTAATAAATAATACTAATTAATTTGTTATTATTTTATTTATAAATAGATGGATTATTATTTGGTAAAATAAAACTAAAACAATAAAATTATTAGTGAATAAAGTTTTAAGTTGTGTACGGATAAGGTTGTTTTTTTAATTTTAAAGGATGTAAAATTTGTCGAAACTGTAAATGGATTCGGTCTGTATTTTATAAAATGGTGTAAATAAATCGAACTTTTAGAGCCTCATGGATGGACTATTATATTTTAGTACTCCATCCTGTCACACTGTATAGATACTATATTTTATGTGGAGTATAATTAGTAAATAATTAGAATATATTAGTAAAAATAATTATTGTATAATAAAAATTAATTTTAGATTAATATTAAAATAACTTATTAGTTTAATTAAAATTTAAAAAATTAAAAATTAAAATTTTAAAATGAGATTAATTTTTATTTTTTTTTAAAAAAATGACAGAATAAGTAGGACTGACGAAAATAAAAAAATAGACAATAAGTGGAACAGAGAGAGTAATACTTTCTTCGTCTTTTGCAGTAATATTTTTAATAATATTTGGGGTTTTGTAATGATCAGTGTTTTGATCTAACTGTGCATTATTTAGGTGTTGCTTTAACTATTTTATTTAAATAGTATTTTTACATAATATTTTATAAAATATATTCTCCTCGTTTGGAATAATAATTATTAATTTTTTTTATTATCAATTAAATTTATAAATAATTTATTCAAATTTCTGTCAGAAAAATTCAATTGTAATTCAGTCCTTATTAGAAATCAATTAAACTGCAGTCCTACTTTATGAATTAGGTTTAATATAGCTCCCCAATTTGTATTTCTCTCCTAATCACCGTTGTATACGCAAAAGGTACTCGAAATAAATTGATCAATATTTCTAATGTCGTAATGTATACGTACATTACTTCCCGCTCTATCTCCATTATAACCTTATATGCTCATAGTTAAATATCGCATACCTTTTTTTTGTGAATTAAAAAAATAGTAAAAAAAGACAGTTACCCACGATTTAACAGGAGTTGAAGCAAAAAAAACCTCCCATAACTCATTTCACCCCGATTTTAAACCCTACATCTTCCATCTTCAGGCGAATTGATGTTCTCCAAACCCCAATAATCAAATAACGATCAATCGGTGCAAAAATAGTGGAGAAAACAGCTGACCTACTCTCATCCCCAGGACAAGCTCGAAAAAATAAGACATTTTTTGATATTTTATTTTGTTAACATTATTTGTATTTTATACTGTAGTTTGTCGATTGTTTGGGATATAAGTCTTGGTCCCGTGTTTGTATGTTTCGATAGGTTCGGTGTTAAGTAGCCTTGGGTGATCGGTGTATTTATATTTGTATTTGTTAATTGGATTTGAAATTGTTCGTATGTTTGCACACATAGACCGAGTTGGGTGTTTTATTTTGGCACCGATTTTGGGTAATTTTATTTGTTTAATCTATAATTTTTGTTAATTTTGTAGATATCCAGTTTGTATAATTACATGAAGTTTAGTATTTTAGTTTTTTTGTTTGATTGTTCGGTAATTAGTTATGTTTGTGAGTTGGTAAATGTGGTATTGTTAGGTACCCCGAGTTGCATTTTTTAGGTCTAGTTTTCTAAGTAATATAATTTTAGAGGACTATTGTGTACTCGGAATGTGTTGTTACGTATTCCTAATAGATTATGACAAACTTTTAAATAAATTCGAGATTGGGGCAATGTAAATTGATGGAATTTATGTACAGATCGAATAAGGAATACAATCGGTTATCAGTCGATTTTTAGTACCGTTTGGTGTGTATGTTTTCCGGGTGTTACATCCACGCAAATCTGATAGTATCGACAATGAGTTTGATAATGTGAAGAGCTACCGCAGTAAAATTGAGGCCAGAATACTGAAAGGTCTGCTTTCCGAACCATAGACTTTAATGAGCAGCACAGGGTAAGTGAACATTGTATTGAATTTGGATTGTGTTATTTGTGCTTGATTTGGGTAGTGTGTTATTTTGATTGAATTGTCGGTTGAATTGGTTTGATTTGCTTCATGTTTGATGAAATTGTATTAAGATTGATTGAGAGACTGAATCGTAGGTTAAATTTGGTGAAATTTAATTTTTGGAGTAATGCTATGCATTTTGTCGTGAATGATTGTATGATAAATTTGGTTAAATTGAAATTAACTAATTCACTACAAGACATTCCAATAATTGAGGTAATGCCTGAAATGTACATAAGTGCATTACGGAATATGATCCATATGCGTGAGCAATAGGCAATGATGTTACTTAGTTGTATTGTTGGTAATGGTAGTGCTTAGTTTTACTGCATATGCAATAGTTGTACAGTTTAACAATAAGGAGTATTAATATACTAATACTCTATCTAATTGCATTCACAATAATAAATTTCAAAAACTATGGAAACAATATAATATTATAACATGTCATTCCTTTACACAGGTTAGCATCAACGGATACCTCAGTCGTTTACCAATACACCATGGAATTAGTATCTCATATGCTTCCATAACTAGTATCTATGCCCTGAAAACCTGTGCTTGGGAAACAAACCATTTTCGATTCAAAACATTCAATAATTGTCTGTAATCAGGGATAAATTCATCATATAGTATTTATGTGAATTCCATAATTGTATGTAAATATAAATAACACATATATATTATGGATGGCTAAACAAGTCATAAATGACTTAGTTAAATTATATTTTTTTGTTACTCCTACATGTTTTGTGGTCTTGCTATTGAAAAGTATGACATGAGCTATTGAATATAAATGTACCGTGCCTAATTTTTTCCAACAAGACTAGGAAAGGAAGTACTCTCACCGAGTTTGTGATTGTCCCCTCCGTCAGCGGGTCAACTGAAATCAACCACATTCACGGATACCTGCTACTACACAGATAATACCTAAGCAATCATTATTCATATTTTAAGTGTCAGTGTTCATACCCAAAGCACATAGTTACATACCTGCATAAAATACCGACATACCCTATTACAAATCTTACGTACCTATAATACTGGTATCATATGCTTCTTTAACGAGTATATATACTCTGATAATCTGTACTTGGAAAACAGACAATTTTTATTTTTTTTTAAAATCAAAATATTCACTTGTTGTCGGCAACAAATGATGAATTCATCGTGGTAGTAATCCAATGACACCCTGAATTGTATGAAAAGATAAATAATATATATTTACTATAGATGACTAAACAAGTGAAAAATAACTTAGTTATATTGTATGATATATGTACAATTATAATCCAACATCCACTTGTAGATAACTAAACAAGTCATAAAGAACTAAGTTAAATTATATTAGTTGTTTGAGTAAATAATTACTACCATGAATTGAAAATCTTTAGACCTATTACAAAGTAATCCACACCATAACACACACAACAACATTCAAGTGAAAGTGCGTTGTAATCTACTAGTAGGATTTCAAGTGTTTTTTGTGTAACAGAACAAACACATCTTTTCTAAAGTATTTTGACCAATAACATAATAATCCAAATTGCCACACACTCACAAACTCAAATATCAATCAGCTAGAAGCATTTAAAAAAATTGTGACCCGGTTAAGCAGACATGTACTCCAACACAGCTCCAATGTACCTCTGTTATATTTTCAAAAACCTCTATTGTCAACAAGTCATGTATAAGAGACTATCATCATACTTGTAATTTTTGTAAATCTAATATAATACATCAAATTTACAAAAGAGCTTCAATAAAACAACAATTTTATTGTTTTATATTTACTTACAATATTACATTATGCTTAGCACGCCAAAAATAATTAAAAGAAAATGATTGATGGACATCCTAATTACATCTTTAAATATCTACGACAATTGAGCCACAGACCAAATTGGGTACTTCTGTAGCTGCAATTAAGATATCAGCTTCATGAAAAATTTGTTCTGGATTTTTAGTAGGGGTTGAAGAATTGTCACTTTCGCATGATGTTTCTGCCAATAAATGGATAAAATATTGATGTTCAACAAGTTAGAAAAAAAAATATGATTATATAATTAATTGCACAATTAGAGTGCATGAACATAATATCTTTACACACTAATCTAAATCTACTAGACTAAGATCAATTATAATTATATATATACCAATACCTGAAAAAGTAAGGTTGTAGGCAATCCAACACGTTACTTATATCAATCACCAGAATATTTTTTCCCAGGATATCAACACCAAACTGCAGAAGAAACTCAATGCAATCTTTAGGAGTACATAATATAAACAACATTTTTAATTAATTTATTATATGATAAACTTAATTATTTACTTAATGAACTCATTCTTGAACTAAAAATACAGAGACTCCATCAATCAAACTGCTTCCATATAAATAAATAGTTCCATAAACTATTTGCATTAATTTTTTTCATTCACCATACAAAAATTGTGTATTTAAAAATGATAACCAAAACAGTACATTTTGATTCAATCTTCTACACTCTTAATTGTAACAATAATATAAAAAGCATCTTATGTGCACCAATCAAATCAGTCCAAAAAAGCAACAACCTACACAGTTAATGGTGGGAGATGGTGTACATACATATAAGCATAAACATGAATATTTTAGAGTGCATCATACTTCAATTCACAATGAAATCAGACGTATGTTTCTCAATTTTCATTTTTTTCTTTTTACGGTATTGAAATATTTGTAAATGTTTATCAACAGTTATGTTTCACCCAAATAAAAATAGAATACTGAATCCCGCAGGCTCCCTTGCATTTTTATATATACAAACGATACCTTTAACAAAATATGTATTCTCCACATATTGACGATATCATCATCGTATAATAATGTCACATAGCTTTTCTAAATAAGTGCAATATATTGGATTTTTATTGTCTCAATTCTTACCTTATTCCCTTTTTTTGATAGATTCATGTAAAGATCCGCAGCTTTTTGCCATCTTCTACACCAATTACACGATGCTCACCTTCATACGAACAAATGATGTATAATATCATACTACTTTGCTCTATGTCCATCGGAACCTATCAATCCAACAGATGTATTAACTATCTTAAGTCATATAAGCGATTCAACAATCTTACACAGAATACAGTAAACTTATATGTTCTTGTGGAATCTAGAATGTATGAATCCCCAATAGCAACAAATACCCAATTCACAAAATAACAATTACAATCTACTTTACAAAAGAGCAACAAAAATACCCAATAATAATATATTTCAATATCAAAATCACCCAAGAAATACCAAATATTTTCCCCAAAATAACAATTTCCTTACTAACTCAAATGCTACCGATACAAATACAAACCTAGCAAATATTTGATTCTAATTTTACCGGTGAACAAAGACCACCAGCCACTACGGAGGACGATCCAAGGACGGCGATCGTGGACTCGGGTCAACCAGAGAGTGGTGTCAATTTGGAGATCGACTGTGACAGCTCTCGGAAGTTCTTCAATCTAATCATGCGACCGCCAACGACAGAGAATCAGTAACTGCCCTTGGGAGTTTTTAAACAGAATCGAACGACAAACGATGACAGAGAACAGGCGAGACAATGGAAGAAGGGGAGAGAAATGAAATTTCCACACCGGCTAAAAGCTGAGCGATCGGACGGGAAGTTGCTTCCGATCTGACGTGAGAGAGCTTAACGGGTATAGGAGAAATATTGCGCGAACAAGAAAAAGAAAAAATAAAAAAGGGGAATGAGAGAAAGAAATCGATTATAGAGAGCGAGAATAATGAAGATTGGTAAAGGAGGGAGTTTAGAGAAATGATTTATAAATAGGGACTGAATCTCAACAGAATATTACACAGATGGATTTAATCCGTTTTATTAATCATTTTTTACTTTTTGTATTGTATCCGGTTACTTTTTTTTTTATTAAGATTATAATAATTTATTTTAATATCCCTATTTTTATTTATTTTATTTTATTTTACATTGAAACATTTATTTTTTAATTTCATATATGGACAATACTATATAAACAACCTGAACGGATGGTGTCATATAATTTTATTGGTTAATATAGAAATTTGGAGAAATCTTTAAAAAAATACACTCATATAGTACAAATGATAAAATTATCAAAATCATTTTACAAGCTTCTATTAATCAATAAAATATTAAATATTATTATTATTTTTTAATATATTATCAAATAGTAATAAAAATGTAAAGCGTCTTGGATGAGGAAGGAGTACTATAAAACATTATTTCGTCCACTTGGTAACTGTATATTTTGATATTTTTTGTTATCTAAACAAAAAAATATATCAATTTTCTTTAGTAAATATAATTTCACTGCATATTATAAATACTATCACATTTATATTTATTTACATCAATAATTTTACTCAATGGTGTAAAAGTGAAATAATTGTTACATAATTATCACAAACTATAATTAAAATACAATATTTATTAAATTAATGTAAAAAATAAATCAATAGTTATAAAATGTATGAATATAGTAGTATTTTAAATTAAACTTACATCTTGATACACATTTTGAGAATTTTTCTCTATTATTATTATTTTATTTTTTTAAATAATATGATAAACAATTAAATATTTAGTAATATTTCTAAGAAAAAAATATATTTTAGATTGATTTATAAAAAGAATAAAAAAAGAACGAAGCTGAGAGTGACCAAATTAATTAGTGGTGTTGGTTAGTGGTTGGTTTAAGTTGAAAAATGGATCGACAGTTAGTTATTTGGTGTGTTTGTTTAGAGGATTCTCCAATATTTTTACTATTTATCAAATTTTTTTTTTCAAAATATCAAATTAAACACTTATTTTTTTATTTTTATATAATACTAAAAATTAATTTTGTATTTAAAATATTATATCAACACCTATTTATATCACATTCTACGTCTATTTCAATTCAAAATTTAATTAATACTTTTCTCCCATCTTAATTGACATATTTGTCATTTTGTCTGTGTCAATTGAAATTTTTTTATTTTGGATTAAATTTATTAAATTAATATTAAAATTTCATATTTTTTATAATACTCCTTCCGTGTTTCACTTAAATTGTCCACTTTTGCTTAGGCATGAAATTTTAGGTATTGAGTAATTAGTAAGTAATTAAAAAGTGGATTAATAAAAATAATTACTCCCTCCGCCCCAAAAGATTTGTCTTGTTTTTCCATTTTCGTTCGTCCCAAAACAATTGTCTTGTTTCCTTATTTAGTAGTTGTGGTCTCCACTTTATAACAAAATTATTACTACTTTTCCATACTACCCCTAATTATTACTCTAACATACTTTTTAAAATCCTTAAAAAACCAAGAGCATTTTATTTATTTATATTCTACTTTATACCCACTTTCAATTAAATACTATTATTCCTTAATTCCCGTGCAAACTCTCAATAAGACACTTCTTTTGGGACGGACGGAGTATAATTTACTAAAAATAATTATAGATTAAATTCAGATGACTAAATAATTTACTTAAAATAAAATAAAATTATAAATTATAAATTTTAAAATTTGATTAAATTGTATAATTATATTTTCAGAAATAACAAATTGTGTTTGACAAACATAATTAGAAAGAGTGGACAAATTATATACTCCTCCGACCCTTATCTATATATCCGTTTGGTTTTTGCACGGAGTTTTAGGAATATTAATATTATATTAGTGTGTGGTATGAATAAAGTAAAAAAGATTAAATAACCTTATTAGTATTGCGTGATATAAAGATAAAGACAATTGTATAATATATTGTATGTTGTAAGAGTATTTTAAATGTTAATAGAAAGTATAGTTAAAAAATAAATACTTTGTTACGAGACGGATCAAAATAGAAAAATGAATAAATTATTAAGGGACGGATCAAAACTTTTATATTTCTATCTCTCCTAAAAAAAAATAATTATTTCTGTATATTTTAAATTCCACATTTTTTATAAAATTATTTTATACTATCTCCCTCCGGCTCTAGAGTCCCATTTTTTTTTGCGTGTTGATATTTGACTATTAATTATTATATCAAAACGTAACTCAAATTATGAAAGAATTTCTTATGTCTTATAATACTAATAGAAGGACATTTGTATAAAAAAAAATTATACAAATATAATAATATTTTTATTGTTAAGTACAATGACGCAAAAGGTAAATGTGATCCTCATAGGTGGACGGAGGGAGTATTAATTATAAATAAATAAACACATTTTTTAAGTTTTATTCTTTACAAATCTATACTCCCTCCGTCCCAAAAATAGTGTCTTATTGAGAGTTGGCACGAGAATTAAGGAATAATAGCATTTAATTAAAAGTGGGTATAAAGTAAAATATAAATGACTAAAATGCCCTTACTTTTCGAAGGATTTTAAAAATTATGTTAGAGTAATAATTAGGGGTAGTATGGAAAAGTAGAAATAATTTTGTTATAAAATGAGGACCACGACTACTAAATAAGGAAACAAGACAATTGTTTTTGGATGAACGAAAATGAAAAAATAAAGACAAATCTTTTGGGACGGAGATAATATTATGTATACTATATTTTATTGTGATATAAATTTAAAAATATTTGAATACATATTATATTTTTTTTTATCGTTTATAGTATTAAATTTATTTTAAAACTAACAATATTATTAATTATATAAAAAATAATAAAATAATATTATAATCTATTATTATTAACTATTAAATATCATTATCTTAAATATAGTATTACTAATTAAATAATTCAATTAAACCAAAAATATCGTATTACTAATTAAATAATTCAATTAAATCAAGAGGGACGAAGGAAGTATTTAATTTATGATGTAAATATATAAGATTAAAAAATTACAAACATATGTTTAATTATTTTAATAATTATATATTTTAATAAAATATCCTCAGTTCTATAGTAATAAAAAAGTATAATTTTCCATTTATGTCCATATTAAAACAAAAGTTTTTGTTTTCTTCTTAGTTTAGTAATTGGGATCCCTGACATGATAAATATATTTATAATTTATAATATATAATCATTATTTTAATATTTCCTCGGTTCCAAAACACTGTAATATTTGTTTTTTTGGTATGTGACAAACACTTTGTAACGTTATTTAATTTATACTTCAAACTTTATCCTATCATATCACAAAATAAAAAATATTTATTTAAAAAAATATAAATTAATTTATAAATAAATAGTCCCTCCGTCCCACATAATTTGTTCCTATTTTTTATTTTCGTCCGTCCCACATAATTTGTTTTATTTTTGGAAATATAATTATTCATTTTAATCGCATTTTAAATTTTAAATTTTATAATTTTCTTAATTTTAATTAAACTATTTCCTCATCTTATTCTTAATCTATAATTATTTTTACTAAATAATAATTATTTTTATTAATACACGTTTTAATTATTTATTAATTATATTTTACCTAAATTCCTGTATCTACGGTAATAGTCCCATATTTTCTGGGACGGAGGAAGTATTAAAAATTAAATAAATTTTAAATGAGTTTTATATAATATATATATATTTTTTAAAAAAAGATTAAATTAAATTAAGAGAATAACACCATTTGGGCGAAAAGCCAAAGACAAACCCTAAATTTCGAAACAAGGTCTAATCGGCGTCGTATAATGTAATGAGTGAAGATTGAATTAGTGTGGACTGTGGTCTGTGGCGGTACAGGTACTCCTCCGCCCATTCCCATAGCACACTGTGCTGTGCTGTGCTGTGCTGTGCCTGTGCGACCGAAAAGGGCAACACAAAAACTAATACTACTACTAATGATGACGGAACCCTTCCTCTCTCCGGGATCGCCTCCAATCTCAACATCCCCTACTCCTACTCCTACTCCTACTCATTCCCCTTCTCTCTCCTCCTCCTCCTCCTCCTCTTCTTCTTCTTCTTCTTCTTCTTCTTCAGGTACGCGGACCATCTTTGAAAGGCCTTTCACATGATATCATATGCATCTCAACCGATTTTTTGTTGCGGACTCTTTCGGGGTTCCGAATCCTGTTGTGTTTTTGCTTTCTAATGGCGTTTATTTCTTGTTTCGTATACTTCTGTTTCGGCTCTGCTGGCTTGCAATTTTTTTTTTTTTTTTGGTTTTACTGCTCAAGTAGTAGACAGATGCTATCCATCCTATGATAGTTCCTCTTATGTGTTTTTCTGGTCAAGAATCATGGAGTTAGTGTGACTTGCTAAATATAAATTCGTCTTATAGAACCTGTAACAAACTCACATACAAGTATAGAAACAGGAATGGAAGAGCTTTCATTTGGTTTAGTTCCACAGGTTTCTATTGTACAAATAATTTCGAAGCATCAGTTATTTTAGGTTTGGTTATTTGGTCAGTGATTAGGATAAAATGAGCTATTCTCGTGTTGCCAGGGGAAGACAGCACAGGCGACAACTACTATCCACGCCTTACGCTGAATCTATACTATGCAAGGTTAAAATGCCCCTCACTGTTACAAGACAGAAAACCTTTGGCAACGAGCTCCTGGTTTCCGCGCGGTCGACGCCTTCCAAGATATAGAACTAAAGTTTCCAATGAGGCCAAAGTGATGGCTGATAATCCAGCTGGTATTTTCCTGTATTTTGTTGCTTTAGCTCTGATATTACTTACATATGGAATCATGGATTTAGTGTATTCTTTTAGTCACTTTCTTTATAATTTGATAGATGAATATGTTAGATATTTGGCCATTCTTCGCATCTGAATTTTCTGTTTGTCTTCTTGGCTGCATAATGTGGATTTTTGTTATCAAAACTATGGTGAGAAGGGGTTCCTGCAGACGGCGTCTCTGATGCGTGTCCAAGCCCGCAGCGGAAGAGATGCAAGCGAAAAACTATGCCAAAGAACGAGTCGAGTGATTCAGAAGTGATTTTCCTGCGAGGTGCTCGTGTCCGTGGCTGTGTAAGAAGAAACAGGAGCCAGAGTAAAGCAATCACCGACGAGAGAGGGAAACTAGACTCTTCAACGTTCGTTCGTTACTTTACGTAGGTTCAATGTTAATTATATTCGAAGAAACATCTGAAAAATATTGATGCATATGATGAGATTAAACATTTTTGAGTAGGGACATATGGAATGCTCTTCCTGAAGATAAGGTGAATTCGGTTGCGTATTTTGACCCTCTGTGGTTCGATCTGTACGCCAAAGGAAACTATCGAGAGATGGTTTTGAATTGGATCAAGGAGAAGGATATTTTTTCGAAGAACTATGTTTTGGTTCCGATAGTTATGTGGTATGTTGTACTATGATGCTATTGATCGCGCAATTGTAACTTAATCTTGTGCTTGCATTTTACGATTTCTTTTTTGGCAGGTCGCATTGGAACCTACTGATCTTTTGCCACTTAGGCGATTCGAAAATGAATACACCTTGCATGCTGTTGCTCGATTCATTGCAAGCTATAGGACCTAAACGAGTCGAGCCTCTGATACGAAGGTATTACTGTTTCTTTATAAGTGTGTGAATTCTTGAATCAAAGCTCCTCTGGTATTTCATTCGACAGTGAATGATGCATTTGCAGGCTTCTCATTGACATATATCGATCAGAGGATAGGCCGGAGACGGGCAAAGAGCTTAAAAAGATGCAGTTCTTGATTCCCAAGGTAAGGAATGGTCTCAACATTAATTGTTCAATGTATGGGAATGTTTAAGGTTCCGATTCTTGGCTACTTTCAGGTCCCGCAGCAGAGAAAAGGCGACGAATGTGGATATTATGTTCTCTACTTTATAAAACTGTTCTTAGAGAATGCTCCTGAGAATTTCGACGTATCTGCTGGCTACCCGTACTTTGTGAGTGCTTGCTCGTGTTCTATCTTTTCCTGGCTTCGGCAAACAGCTTCCCTTACGGTTGCCATTGGTTTCAATTGTGTTGTAGATGAAGCAAGACTGGTTCGGGCCTGAAGAGATTGAGCCGTTCTGCCAAAGGCTGGATGCTCTTCCCGTTGAGAACGATGATTGTTCTTCTTCTGCAGAATCCGGTGATCTAGTATTGATCGAGGCGCCTGCCTCTTGACAAGCCCCATACATAGATAAGAATCTCATGATGCAAACCTCTTTTGTCCCATGTCTGAATCTCAAGCATCAAGAACTAATACGGATCGCTAGGAATGTACTAAATAATCATCAACAGCATTTGCAATGCCGGTTAGATCCTTTTCACTGCAACATTCACTTATTGTTTACTACTCGATTCTTTAGGTAGTTATCTAGTTTCTAACCCCCGGGCGAGGGTACCTACCTAGTAGCCTTGATTCCGAACAAGTCTAGGATAAACACCATGAGAACATAATCAAATCTGTAGATCATCCCAAAGAACCATCTAGTACATATTCAAAGAAGCTCATATATACGATAAACTAGTCTAGAAATTGAGTCAAATTGCGACAGTAAAGTATAAAAAACATCCCCAAAATGGTGAAAATTATAAAAAGTATGCCATTGTTTGAAGTAGAGAAAGCAAACCTAGCTGAAAGAAAGCATTTTGTAGCCTAAAGAGAGTAGGAATACAAATATTGGCTCTCAGCCCTTTGCTTCGAAAAAGCTTTTATAAATATGCAACAAACATAACTGATACAATAGCACAGGGTTACATATTTTAAACTGGCCTATAAATAAATGTCCGGTTATTGGTACAAGGAAAGACTTCATTCGATGATTTGCTCGATCCTCGGAGGAGCCTCCAATGACCAACACTAAAACTTTGAGGTATTTGTGAAGAATCTGCACAATCAAGTCAAAAAGCATGAAAATATAATCAAACATGAAAGTTATTTCATTAGTAGCAAGGAACAATTAAACAGGAGTTGACATAATCAATCAATATTCCTCGGCAAGATTGTGCCACATCTCAAAATAATCGACTATATAAACATTTCACATTTCCCCCACCGTGGCCAAATGACATTAAAGTTCAAAAAGTGCTCTTTGTAAACAGCAGAACACAGCAAAATATAAGAATGCATTGTTCAATCATTCTCGCCACACACAACCTATTCATCAACAATACATTGGACACAATACTCAGCATAATTATTTTAGTCTGTCTACTTCAAGCCGAACGATCAACACAATTACCTCCTAATTTTATTGCTACATTCTTGCACGAGGAAGGCGAATTTCAAAACCTTACATTTCAAAAGATACTTGCATAAGAATACAAGAACGCTACAAAGTAGAACCACCCACTAAACACTTGATATAGATATTAATATTTAGATGAAGCTACATTCTTGCCATGAATCTTAACAAATTTTCACACATAACTTTACCCAAACTAACTTTCGACAAATCTATCACTATGCCATAGTCCAATAACTTAATACTATAGTTTATAAATTCAGCCAATCTTTCATATGCCGCAAGAACCATTCCAGAAAAACACTCTTAACAATACTCTAATAAAAGCAACCTCAATCCACAAACAATAGATATGCTTTCTTATTTGGTAAATACAGACTCAAAATTTCAATAAAATATTCTATTATTTCAGTTAAAAATACCAAAATACTCATTTTTCAAACACATATTCCTTGTTAGGTGTGCTTCTAGGTATTTTAGTTTTTACCTACACTTATTAATATCAAATAACAACTAGTAGTGTCATTTTTAAATCGATGTGTAAACAGTAACAGCGCCTATATAATTTATCAATCAAAACAACAACATAACCAACAGCAGTAAGGATTTTTGTGTACCTTCCTCACCTAGCGGCCATGGCCCATGTAGGGTGCACCACCCTGATGTGGTCGAACACCACCCTGACCTGGCGGCATCTGGCCACCATAGCCTCCGTGCATTGGTGGTTGACCTCCAAAGCCACCAGCGCCGCCCTGGCCTCCATAACCAACATTCGGCATCATGGGCGGCACTCCCTGTGGATTCATGCCCACTCCCATACCTCCAACCAAATTTCCAATCCCTAATCCAGGCCCCTGTGTGGCCAACAAAGCTGCCACGGCCTGCCCTATAGCTGCAGGCGCAACCGATGGATTAAGCCCCGCAGATGGCACAGGTGGCCCTGCTGGTGGCGCCATCATATGCCCGCCTCCGCGCCCTCCACCACTACTTCCGGCATACTTTGCCTTCTTCGCCGGATGATTGTAATACCCCCCGTGATGCTGCTGTTGCTGCTGCTGCGGCTGACCGGGTTGCTGATTGTAGTAATTCTTCCCGTGCTTCGGTCCATCTATAGCCTTCTGGCAATGCAAAATATGGCCCTCGAAATTCTTGTGTGGCTCCTCCAATGCCTTCTTTGCGCTCTCACCGCTCTTGTACACAAACAAACAGAACCCTCGAGGCTTCCCTGTTTGCTTATCCAATCCCAAAGGCCCCTCTTCAATCTCCCCAAACTTTGAGAAGTACTCGAACAGCTTGCTGGGATCAAGCTCAGCAGACACATTGCTCACATAAATCTTCCTCTGCGTGTACTCCGACACATGAGGTGTAGGAGCGGCTGCCACGGCTTGAGGAGGAGTCTGCACAGGACCGGCCGAGGCCAGCTGGCACGACGTCATTCTACCATTAATCAGCTTCTGAGGCTGTTTCAGAGCTCTGCGTGCACCGTCGCGGTGCTTGTATAGAATGAATCCGTAGCCCTTGGATTTCCCAGTGTTCTTGTCTTTGACAACTTTACAATCCTCGATCTCTCCGTATTTCCCGAATACGGAGGTAATAGTCTCCGAATTCGCATCCCAGCCGAGGCCATGGACGAAGATTTTGCAGTGCGCAGGATCAGCATTGGCCAATTTGTGCACAGCCTCCATCACATCAGGATGTTTGGAAACTGCTTCCTTGATTATAAGCGTCAGCTGGTCCTTGGAAAATGGTTCGAGAAGCTTCTCCAGCGGCTCTTCTTCCAATTCATCTTCTCCTTCGGCGCTCTGCTCCTCGGCCTTTTCTCCATTTTCAGAAACTGTGCCCTGAGATGGATTTTCCGCCGTCTCCTGTTCCGTCTTCTCCGCCTCCGCGCCGCCGACTTCGACACTATCCTCCTCCGCCGCCGCCGTCTCAATGTTCTCCACTTGCTCTTCTTCAGCTTCTCCTTCAGCCTCCCCTAATTTCCGTTTTTCCTCCTCTTTTTCGCCATCCGCCATTTGTTCTCCAACCTCCTCCGGATTTCCTTCGACCGTCTCCTCCGTTTGGGTCAGTTGACGTTCCAGCTCTGGCTCCGGCTCCGGCTCCGGCTCCGGCTCCGTTGCTGGTTCAGTAGTTTGAGCGATTTCGGGTTCTTGAGGAGCCGCGGGGAGGCGGGATTTTCGCTTTCTGGCCATGGCGATTGGGGGAAAAGGGGCTAGGGTTTTTATGGGTAAGGGCAGTTAGGGTTTGAAGGCAGCAGAACAGATTTTTTTGCGTATATAGTGATGGAATTTAAGAATCGCTGAAACATTAAGGAAAACTTCTCTAAATTCTTACTTACGGGAACACCTATTTTTCTTTATATAAATTTCAATAATAAAATTTTATTTCCAAACAATTAAATATAGGACCAAACCACATAATTATCGAGAAATATTATTAAAAATATATAATTATAAATAAAAGTATATTATAATAATATAGTATATTTTACTTATTAAAAAAGATAAATTATTTAATACAAAATATTATCTTGCTGTAATAATGATAAGTCTTTATTTGTTATTAGTTAAATTTATTTATAAAAAGTTAATTCATCTATAATTTTTTTAACTCTGTGACAAATAAATCTCGAGAGTCGGATTTAAACCAAAAATTCATTTTTTTTTTTTTAATATTAACTGCAATTCTCATATTTAATCTTTAAAAGAAAATTTACACTTATTTTTTTTAAAAAAAGAGAATATAAGATCAACTACTTAAAATTATAATATAAATAAAATTGTAATAATTTGTTTGGTTCATATGAAAAGAGAAGGAGAGGGAAAAAAATAGAATAATTTTACTATTTTGTCTCTATATTATATAAATAAAGAAAAATAAAAGTATTTCATAAAATTTGATTAATTTATTCATAAAACATGACATAATTTTTTTTTTGTCTAATATAATAAAACAAAAACTACATTATAAAGCGAAGAACCAAACATTATATACATAATGACCATGACCGATCTGCGTGCTTCGGGTGGATATTTAGTAATCGCTTAAGTTGATATGGATTATTCATAAGAAAATAATTAAATTAATTTAAAAGTATTTTAAAATACATTTGAATTAAATTCATATGATTTGTTGCAGATAAGGTAAGTATTTATTGAAATCAAAATAAAGAAAAATAATTATTTTATATACAAGTATAACAATATATATGGTAAAATTTATATAAATCAAATCAATTATAAAAAATATATTAATTTTTTAAAATATATTTATTTGATAAAATCAATTATTTAAATTAAATTTAATTATTTAAAATTATTTATTTTTTTAAAAATATTATATACTCCCTCCGTCCAGTTAAAAAGTATACATATTTCTATTTTGGAACGTCCAATTACAAAGCAACCATTTCATTAAATACCCCATTTTTTCCACAAATACCCGTACTTTATATTACATCATTACTTTTATACCAAAAAAGTAAGGACAAAAATGTCATTTTACTACTTTTACCTACCAACTATAATTAAAATATTATTATTCCTTAATTTCCGCGCCAAAAGTAATTGTATACTTTTAGCTTGGACGGAGGGAGTATTATTTTTTGAAAATATTATAACTAAATTTAATCTAAATTTTATTTTAAAATATTTTAAAATATATAATGTAATTTACATATATCCACAATATATATTAATATTTATTCTTATAATTAAAAATAAAATAAATAAATATTAAAATTTAAAAATATTAATAAAATGTTAAAAATGATATAATAGACAAAAATTGTTTAATAAAATCATTCCCTTTCAAATTCTCTCAAATTGGAGAGAAATAAAAATATAAACAGATTAAATCTCATTCCCTCCATTCTCTTCCTCTACCCTCTCAAAAAACTTGAACAAAACACAAATTTTTTTACAATTTCATCTTTTCCCTTCCCCTCTCCTCTTAAACCCTCGAACCAAAAAGACTCTAAGTCGTTTGGGGAAAATTGGATTTGAGTTTAATTTTTATTTGAAGTTTAAGATAAGTTTGAAATTTTGTATTTCTTTTGTGGATAGATTTAGTTTGGACTTGGGGTTTTTGATATTTATTGATTTGATGGGTAATAAATATAAGGCAAAATAACATAAAATTCCCTTGTGGTTTCACGAAGTTGCTGAAACCCCACGTGGTTTTAAAACTCCAAAAAATCTACTTGTGGTTTGTAAAACGTTGCAGAAAAACCCTCCTCCGTTAGAACTTAACGGAGAGTGCATGTTACGCGTCTTAAATGCGAATTTTGGTTTAGAAAATGATAAGTTTGTACGTGAAGTTACTAAAAATGACCCTATGACTTTATTATATAATTTTTCTCTCACCTACAATTCAATATAACTTAGTTCTTTCCCAATGTCTTCTATTCACCCGATTGTGCAGGTTCAAAATTCAGAATATATTCAATTCAAAGAATAAAAAAAATTGAAACGGATAAATCACGTTTTCAACTGATAGTCACAAAAAATGAAGGCACATAGAACTTAGTAAAATCAATAGAGAATTGTGATTTTTCACCCTCTCCCATATTTATCTAATGTGCAGAAAAACAGTGTTAATTTATGTTTCTTTCTCCATTCTTGTAGATATTTTTTAGGTTAAATTTTAGGAGCAAATAATTTATAATTGGAGAAGAACTTGGTGCGGCTGCCTGAAGAAGAATTAAGGAAGAAGAAGTAGAAAAAGGAAAAAAAAATATTGGAAGGGAGAAGAAAGGAAAAAATTGGGGAAAAAAATACCTGGTGCGTGCGGCTGCGGCTGCGGGTGAAGAAGAATTGAGAAAAAAAATTGGGAAAAAGAAATAAGAGAAAGAATCTGGTGTGGCTATGGCTATGGCGGTGTGAAGAAAAATTGGAGAAAGAGAAGAAGGAACAAGAGAAGAAGGAACTCAAACAATTAAGACCCAGAAGAAAGAAAAATGCTTTCCACAAATTTACTGACTGACAAACAATTCCAGCCCATTCCGGCGACCAGCAGCGGTGGCGGTTTTCAGCAGCTTCCTTCGTCGGCGAACAGACAACGGGTTAATATTTCCGCTGACGATTTTTTCACAGATCTTCTGAAAGAAAATTACAAAAAAAAAGAAGAGAAAGGAAAAAGAAAAAGATGGGAGTGGACGTGTGGGAGAAAAGGGAAGAAAAAAAGTGTGAGAGAGAAAAGAGTATAACGGTTAATTATGATAGAATTTAACGTCTGTTAGTAGAATTTAGAGGGGAGTGACGAGTGTGCAATGTTTTACAAATTATAAGTATGTTTTTTGGAGTTTTAAAACCAGAGGGGTTTTCAGCAACTTCGTGAAACCACAGGGGAATTTTATATTATTTTGCCTAAATATAATAATATAAATGTGTATTCATATGTATAATTTGATTATAGATTTATATTATATCTACATATATATTTTTAAATTTTTATTTATTTATATTATAAAAAATTTTATTTTTACAAAATGACATATATATTGTATATATTTTAGTAAATTATAATTACTATAAAAAATTTGAATTTGAATTAATAATTTAAATTAAAAAAAATTCAAAACTGCTGCGTGCAGCTTTGTCTGCCAGCCATGGGAGAACTCAGTTTCGGGAGTTTAACTGTGCAAACAGTGTTTCCAACAATCACAATAAAAATTGTCACAGATCCAACTCAATAACACAAATGAAAAATACAATTTGATATAAATCCATCCCAAGAAGCACGGACCAACTCCTAAGACAACCATGAAATCAATATGTACATCTGGCCCAAGAAGAACAGCTCGGACCAACTCCAATGATAAGGCAGACCAAAAAATAAATTTACCCAAAGTTTAGTTAAGTTTCATCCAATTCACAAATATAGAAAAATAGAATAAAATTAGAGAGATAAATCTACGTGAAAGTGAACTGAAAGTGATGGATAGTACCTACTAACTAAGGGTATAAATTTGAAATAAGATAGAGAAGACAAATCCATTAGTCCGAACAACATATACATTCAGCTTATTTTTTACCCTTTCTCATTGTTTTAGCTTCATTACCCTTCAAACTTTCAGTCTAGTCAAATTCAAATTTTAGATTTTATTTTGTATTATTCTTCATCCTTTATCCGTTCAATCCAAGCTCACTTGATTTGATCATATCAAATCAACTCCAAAATCATTTATCGCAATAGTTTCCATCATAATCTGTATGTTGATCTTTATTGCAAGATTAAACTCAAATTCTTTTTTGAAGAGGTCAAAGAACTCAATAATATTGTTTGTGACAGGATTAGCTCCTTTTGGCGGTTATTGATAGATTTTTGTGACAACAATTATATTACTCTTATATATGTTTTGTTTTGTTGTATAATTTTGTGTTTACTTTGATTTTGATTTTAGTTTTTCTTTCATTATTACTTTAGTTCAAACTAACACTTTGATAGAATGTTTTGTAAGTTTAAAATTGTTGATAATGTGGCTTGTAAAGAATTTGGTTAAGTTATCTAATACGGGGGAACCAAAATTTGAGGAAATTAGTGTAGGATTTGAATTGTTTTAGGGTTGGTAATAGAAGATTTTTGTGAGATTCCAAAAATATATGTATGCAAGAAATTACCATATTCATTATGGTTGTATTCGTTTGACGAATTTGTCTCTAACTTTACTGTACAAATAATGTACATAATTGAAATTCAAAATCCTAACCCTACATCCTACGCACGTTGCTAGACCATAGGCTTCCCTTCACGTAGAATTTGTCGCGAGAATCTCTGCGATCTGTCAACTCCAGCTCTGATTGACAGACTGACGAACACATTCAACGGTAGGGTTGGTATCAATCCAATTTTTTTTTTTAAAAAAATTATTTTTAAAATATCAATTCAAACATCACTTTACTTTTTCACTTTTATTTATTTTAACAATATTTAAATATCATTCATTTCAAACTATCACATCAATACATCATTTTTTTCAATATAATAATAATTTCTTCCAACATAATCATTACAAAATACAAACCTTCAAACAAACACAACTTAAAAGTCCATACTTAAAAATTCTCAAAAATTCAAATCCAAAATCCAAACCCCCAAACAAACACATCCTATAATAACATCAACAACTTCATGAATTTCTACAAAATCACCTTCATCAATCATTTTTAAACTATTCATTTCATGATTCTTTCTCCCATAAGTACCAACGTAATTATTTAGGTAGATTATATTGCAATTCAATTTAACTCCTTGATATATGCCCAAACTTAACTGATCATCTCTTTTTCCTTGACTACTT